GGTTCAACAAACATTACTAATTTGCCCGCCAGTAAGTTTAAAGTTGAAATAGAGACACAAAAGTTAAAAATTCTTCCACTGCAATATTACAGGATTCCACCTTCAATAAAAGAAAAAGCCTAAATGATCATTCACAGAGACTTAGACATTGGTACGTGACCGAGGTATATGAAGGGAGCTGGTCAGGTATTCAGCTGTGCAACTCACCGTCCACACCCAGTTATGAAGAGGTTATATTTAACAGGAGGAAGATACACCATTGGAAAATTCGTAAACTTAAGGAATCAGCACATATGCTAGGCCACAAAAATCTCCTGAGCCGACCAAGCATAGAAATAAATACAATATGGGAACCAGTAATAAGGAGTGCCAGAGAAAAGCAATGATAACAAAGTTGCAATATGAACTCTGGTAAAGACATGCAATGATAACAGCAAAAAAAAATTGCAATATGAGCACTGGTAAAAATGATGCTGAAAACATTAGGTTTATAATACTCAGAAGTTCATACATGGCACAGTGGATAAAGGCGTTGGTTAGATCCAGTGACAGACCCAAAGAAGGTGAGTTCAATTCCTGGTTAAGGCAGTGGAGAACTTTCAGAGGGAAAATTAGCAGGAGATAACTGATAACTGACATCCATCAAACATGGCACGTGGAATTAGAACAGTCTACCCCAGCGATCGAAATAAAGGGTTCAGTTCGAAATTCCAACCACCTGAAGAAGGCCGGAGCGTACAACGGCCGAAACGTTGTGACAAATATGGCGACAAAGATGAGGACAATAGTCCGACTAATGTAAATACTGAAGATACATTAACTTTTACAAAATTCTGTTAAAAACGAAGAATTAAGATGTGTTCATTTTTTTTTTCTACAGATTAAACGAGAAAATATCTTTAGGTTTCCTACACTATTTACATTGTTCGGACTGCTGTCCTCATAATTACCATATTCACGATGTTTCGCCCGTTATAAGCTTCGGCCCTCTTCAGGTGATATTTCTTGAAAATTCGAACAGAACCCTCCTTTTAGTCCACAAGGCCCAGTGGATAAAATCGCTGATTAATTAATCCAAAGAAACTTGACCCAAAGAGTTGCGGGTTCAATTCAAACAAACATGGAAAGCTGAGTTATCATGAGGAAACTGAGAAACTGAAATGGTGATATCCAAAAGACATGAACAATAAAATTAGGACCGTAATCTTTTCGAAATCGATAGCTCATCAATATTAAATACATCAATAATGCAAATAAAAAGAAATTATTTAAAATTATTTCCTATTTTTTATAAGTGAACCAGTCCATTAAAGTACAGCCCAAAGTACCGTATTATACTAGTGTAAGCCATATATAATATACATAAATATATATATATATATATATATATATATATATATATATATATATATATATAAATATATATATATATATATATATATAAAAATAAATATATAAATATATATATGGCTTCGGAGAAAATTAATAGTACCATTTTTTATTCACTCGTGGGTTTGTGTACATTACTTTACATGTGCTTGTCTCATTTACTCATAAAAAAGATATAAACACATACATTATATATGCACGAGCAATTCTCTCCCATATTAAAAGCAAAAAAACACGAAAATAACGTGAAAAATAATACACACATAAAAAGGGAAAAAAAACACAAAAAGCAAGAAAAAAAAAAAAACGCAAACAGCAACAACAAAAATGAAAAAAAAAAAAAAAAAAAAAAAAAAAAAAAAAAATGAAAAAAAAAATGAAAAAAAATGAAAGAAAAAAAAATAAAAAAAAAAATGAAAAAAAAAAAAAAAAAAAAAAAAAAAAAAAAAAAAAAAAAAAAAATGAAAAAAAAAAAATGAAAGAAAAAAATGAAGAAAAAAAATGAAAGAAAAAAAAATGAAAGAAAAAAAAATGAAAGAAAAAATGAAAAAAAAAAAAAAATGAAAAAAAAAAAAATGAAAGAAAAAAAATGCAAAAAGAAAAAAAAATGAAAAAAAAAAAATGAAAGAAAAAAAATGAAAGAAAAAAAAAAAAAAAAAAAAAAAAAAAAAAATGAAAAGAAAAAAAAAAATGAAAGAAAAAAAAAAATGAAAAAAAAAAAAAAAAGAAAAAAAAAAGAAAAAAAAAAAAAAAAAAATGAAAGAAAAAAAAAAATGAAAGAAAAAAAAAAAAAAGAAAAAAAAGAAAAAAAAAAAAAAAAAAAATGAAAAAAAAAAAATGAAAAAAAAAATGAAAGAAAAAAAAATGAAAAAAAAAAAAATGAAAGAAAAAAAATGAAAGAAAAACCACAGACAAAGCATGGAGGACAACAAATCAGTTCTTTTCTTCTAATATAGCATTGCCTTCATTGGTCAGCTGGCATTATTAGGAGTGTCGAGATTCATAAACCATGCCTATATGTGCCAATATTTTAGATGGCATAATGAAAACGCAGAAGATAACTTCGTGTTTGGACGAGTTGATGCTCAAAAGGTCAATTCTTGTCACATAAATAGAATATATTATTCAGAAGTTAGCGGAAGACAGAAAATGGAGTCTTAAAAATCTTCCTGTTGCCAAAGGTCAAACGGGAAGGTTTCGAGAGAAATACAATTTCTCATAAAATTAGAAAAGCTGCTAAGTAGAGTCACTTAAGAAATTACGAAGACCAGAGCGATATATTAAAATTTCGTTATTTATAAATACCGACGTGTCGAGATTTACTAAATTTAAGGAGTCATTTGTGGCAGAACTGACAATTACGGCTATCTTACTGTAAACATTATCGCCCAGTTCACACTTCTCATTAGTCTTTTTAACAGAAGAGGTTTATTCCCTGTTTCTAGTTTAGTAATGGTTTCCGATTTCTACTAAAAGTCTTTTCATTTCCTTTTACTCCCAGAAACTCCTTGCGTCTTAGTAGCATTGTCACCTTGCTTGGGGTGAATTGATTAAAAAAAAAAAAAAATCCTGGATTTCTTATAAATCCATGAATAACACGGGATTTTTAAACATAATACCGTACTTTTTTTTTTTAATTTATAACGCTTCCGGTTTACACTCTTTTCTGGTCTTTTGAACAGGAGTAGAGGTTTATCCCTTGTTTCCTGTTTAGGATTGGGTTTCCAGTTCCTTCTAAAGACTTTTCATTCTTTTTCACTCCCAGTAACCCCTTACATTATCGAAGTGAATTGATTAATATATGTGTGTGCGTCGAAGACGAATTAATAAATAAAGGGTTCAGTTCGACATTCCAACCACCTGAAGAAGTCCGGAGCGTACAACGGCCGAAACGTTGTGATAAATACAGCAACAAAGATAGGGACAATAGTCAGTATAATGTAAATAGTGTACATAATACCTCAGAAATATAGACAGATACCCAAAATTCCCCTTTAATTGGTCAAATTTCAAAATTTTCTTGGGGGCTTGCAGCGCCCGAACTCCTAGCTGTATGGGCTTGCCAGAATTTCTTAATAGCCTATATTTTGTCAGTTGGATGCTCAAATCTATTGTGCCGGTTGCGAAGGGGCCCAATATCTGTTCAAGATTCAGTTCCCCCAAAATATAGGTCCGTCACTGATGTTATGTCCAGAATGTAAGCGACTACAAACAGGTTACTTTTTCTTTGTTATCACTGTTTTTCATCAACAGGAGTTGATAGGTTAACCTATCGTCCAGTTCACACTCCTCCCCGGACTTTTGGACAGGAGTAAAGGTTTATCCCTTGTTCCCTTTTTAGGACTGAGTTTCCGGTTCCTTTTAAAGATTTTCCATCTCTTTCACCTTACATTATCGAGGTGAATTGATTAATATACAGGGTGTTTCAAAAAATTTGATATCATTTCGCAATCTAATAACTTTGTTAGATCTCCTTCAAATGACTTCAAATTTTAATAGCATCTTTATGTCTTTCTGTTTGTTTCACGTTTCTATGTCTTTCTGTTTGTTTCACGTTTCTATGTCTTTCTGTTTGTTTCACGTTTCTATGTCTTTCTGTTTGTTTCACGTTTCTATGTCTTTCTGTTTGTTTCACGTTTCTATGTCTTTCTGTTTGTTTCACGTTTCTATGTCTTTATATTTTGTTTCACGTTTCTATGTCTTTATGTTTGTTTCACGTTTCTATGTCTTTATGTTTGTTTCACGTTTCTATGTCTTTATGTTTGTTTCACGTTTCTATGTCTTTATGTTTGTTTCACGTTTCTATGTCTTTATGTTTGTTTCACGTTTCTATGTCTTTATGTTTGTTTCACGTTTCTATGTCTTTATGTTTAATGTTTGTTTTATGTTTTTATGTCTTTATGTTTTTCTTATTTGTATTTTTATGTTCTTTAATCTTTTTCTTTACAGGTATAAAAATGCTATTTACTAGAAGAGAAAAGGCGTTTTGTGTGTTTACATAATCCACATGCTTTCGAATTTCTCATTCAGATTTGGAAGAATAAATCTTATGATCTTCAACATTAATACTTTTTAATTTCATTTGCCTTAATCATGTACTTTCTGTGATATTTACATCTCAAAGGATATCAAATTTTTTGAAACACCCTGTATATGTGTGCATCGAAAACAAATTAAAGCAAAAAGGTTAAAATTAAATTCAAACAAAAAGAACAGGCTTGAATAAAAAGAGAGAAGACAAAGTTATGGCTTCCAATAAAATATCAATAATTTGAATAAAAATCAACGACGAATGTAAAATAAAATTGATACTCCTGAGTGGAAAGGTAATAATTGATCGATTCGTTATTTACGGCTTGCCAACCCTTTGTAGGTTATTTAAAGCTCAAAAATATTTTTACATTGTAAGATTTTTTTTTTTGTTGAGAGTGGGGGTAAGGATTTAGTGATACAAATCTTACTGATTAACCCCTAGCTGGAGGGAGAAGAAATGGATTCATATCTTTCCCAAGGTTATTTGCAACTAAGTGAATATAACAAACCTGATTTGAACAGTCTGTCCGATTCTCAATTTCGAGCCGTTGTCCATTACGCCAGCCGCACAGCCAACT